GCAGTATTTGATGAGGCAGGACCAGCCCATGGAGGGTGGTGCCATCCCTGGGCTTGTGGTCCTGGGTTCTACAGGAAAGCAGGCTGAGCAAGCCCGTCTGCATTAGTTCCTGCCTCCAGTTTTCCCCTGAGTTCCCGCCCTCAATGATTCTGATGATGACCCGTTATGGGGGCTGTGAGCCCTTTTGGTCACGGTGTTTCATCACCTAACTAAGACAACAGATCTCTTCTAGACCTCTCTCACCGGCATCAGTTAGCAAACTCAACCAATAACTGACAGTATTGTATAGAGAAGCACGCTACCGTAACAGGGGACTATTTTACAACTGTTTTCAAGAAGAGGTGGTATTCCTCGTAGAACTGCAAAACTCAAAACACAAAAATGAATGGCTGTGATTAAGAGCATGCATTAAGGACCACAAAATAAAATAAAATAAAATAAAACAAACAAAAAAACCATAGTGGGATCAAATTCTAGACATTTTCACAATGTATTTGAGACACTATAGAGGAATGAGGAAGATTAAATATTTGAGAATCAGTAATTCCTCCTGTAAAATAAGAACATTTTACAGCCATGTTTAAGTCATAAAGCACATCACAATGGATGCCTCAAGTCTCACATCTGACCCAGTTACAATCTTAGAGAAGACTGTGCAGACATCTGCCCTTTGCTTAGTTACAGTTCCAATTATTTTAACTAACAATTCTCTTTCACTTTTCTCCACCTCACTTCAAATAGTCACCAAGCTGTTTCTCAGACTGCATTGTGGCTTTTTCATTGTCAAGATGTTCATATTCATGCTCCCCCAAACTCATGTGTGCGTGTGAAGGTGGAATGATTATAAAACCTTAGCAGTCACCGGGAGGTGGTGATGCATGCCTTTAATCCCAGCACTCAGGAGGCAGAGCCAGGCAGATCTCTGAGTTCAAGGCCAGCCTGGTCTACAGAACAAGATCCAGGACAGGCACCAAAGCTACAAGGAGAAAACTCTGTCTTGAAGAAGCAAAACAAAAACAAAAACAAAACCTTAGCAGTGAGTCATAATCACAGATGCTCTTCCCCAAACTGATGCTGAAAAGCACAGCTTTTAGAAAGAAAAAGTGGCCTTAACCACCCACAGCACTTCCCCAGGAAAGGGAACAAAGGGTGGGATTTCCTTTTCAAGTCTGTGGATGAATGAACCCACCTTACAGAAGAATGTCCAGTCAAATACAACTGCACTCACCAAACAGACAGCTGAAAAGGGGAACAGAAGGAAAGGGGGATGTGGTATGATAGTTAGGGACAGGCCAGCTCCCATGGAAACCAGATCAAACTCAGGTGGCAATACATTTTTTGAGAAAGTACACCAGCAAGGGAATAAAAGACCAATGAGTTAACTAATAGTAAAGCCTAATGCAGTACACATGAGTGGTTTCTGCCACCAGGGAGCCTCAAAATGCCCACCCCACCCCCCATCACTAGTGATGAAGGGCAGTGAAGCAGGGAGAGGATGACCACTGAGTGTTTACAATCACTGCCAAGTTTCATCTTCTGGAAACTTGGTCCTCAGCTTAGTTGTGTTGAGAGGTGATCAAAGTTTTAGGGGGCGGGGCTTCAGGGTGTGAGTAATCCTCAACACTGCATCAGCTCCGGAGAGAGCAAATGTATTCATTAGTCTTGAATCCTTCTGGATTCCTGCGGTGACTTGGAATGTCTTCTATACAGACTCCTTCCTACCACTGTGGCCCACCCACCATGACACCTTCAACAGAGGCCAAACAGATGGGGCTGCATAGTCCCTCCAAACTGCAGGCTAAACAACTTTCCCTTTCCTTATAAGGTCCGCAGCCACAGGTTTTTCTGTTACAGGACTAAGGCAACAGGAACATGTGCAAAAGAGATCACATGCCAAGATAGGAAGGCAGAGCAAGTGTAGTATTAATGTAATTACTACACAGAATACTAACCACTACAATCATTATACTTGTGGGCTTAAAACAACACTCAAAATCTGTGCCAGTCATAGCTAAAGCTCTCCATTTTGAAGCTCAATGTCTCAGAATAATTTGCTTCTAAATATAGACTGATAAAAAAATCCAGACTCAGATTATCAATCTGAGTACAGAATACTGGTCTGTAACTGTTCTCACCTGTTCTTAGTTTCCGTCTGAAAAACTCCAGTAACTATCATATCCCTATCAATTATCTGTTGTCTTTACATCTTGTGGCTATTTCAAAAAAAAATCTGCTCAAGGTTCTGCTGAGATTATCCCAAATCTTAAGTCTCTTAAAATATAAACAAAACTCTATTGCTTTTAAGAGTCTACTAATAAATTCAGTAGACTTAAAATTTATCAAGAACCACAAGTGCAATTACAGTCTTATTTAAACCGACCAATCAAATGTCCTCAAGACTTCAAATATAAAATATTAAGCAATTCTAAGTAAGAAGACAATGATTTTAAAGCCTATCTTGTGCTTCACAGCAAAAATACCCATTTCCTTTATAAAGCTATGCTAAAGCAATGGGTTCAGTTATTACAGAATGAACAAACAGGCCCTCTCTCAGAATACCCTTCCATCTTGCCCAGACTGGAAGACAATGTAGTGCTCACATTAACAAAAGTAGCTCTGGACAGCTAACTGATGTTTAAATGCCATGCCTTGTTCATCATGCATTTCTTCCCCAAAGATGGAGATTTTACCATGCTATCCACAATCAAGACATAACCTGAATCAAAAGCAACAAAATATGTACCATTTACATTTCTAGCAAGTAGGAAGAAGGCAGGAAGGTAGACACTGCAGGATTGTACAGAGAAATTCCAAGCCTTCTACTTAATGTAATGTTTACCAGTTATTTGGTGGCCAGTAGCTGATGGCTTCTACTGAAGTTTATCAGTAGTAAGCCATGTATTAAATGATTTCATCTAGCACTTACCTACAGGAATGTGAGGTCTTGAGAAAGCAATATAATGAGGCAAAAAATTCTTCTGATAAAAGTTTGCAGTATGAATCTTCCTCCACTCATCATAGAAATATAGCTGTTTTTATCAAAATGGGAACAACATAGGAAACCTTTACAATATATTCTTAGAGGGTCTAGTGCCACTATTAGAGACCCCAAATCCACTTCCTACACATCTGTACCTAAGTCTGACAAAACCTGTTAGCTTCTCTCCCATGGGGCCTGACCTCTGTAAGCTACTGTTAGTAATGTGTTAATTACCTTCCTAGAGACACTGCTCTTCTGGGACTTCACTTTGCTGTGCTGGCTGGTGGTTCCTTGTTTGTATACGGTTTTGTCTCTTGGGTTCCCAAACTCAAATAGAAGAATAAAATATAGCATTATAAATAATAATAACTGTAAGGACTTGTGACCCTTAGGGATGAAAGGAATTAGCGTCTCAGTCTCCTTACTCTCTCTACCTCAAAGTTTCTTGTAACAGAAATGCACTTGGGGTAACAACTTGTTTTTGTACAGCAACTAAGTTAAGGACAACCTTTACATTTGTAAACGGCTGAATAAAATGTAAAAAGCCATCAGAATAATGTGACACATTAAAACTATAGGAAATTCGCCAGGCAGACGTGGCGCAACCCTTTAATCCCAGCACTTGGGCCTGAGGTGACTATTTTAAAGATGACAGGAGGTACCAGGTGGTGGTGGCACACGCATTTAATCCCAGTGCTTGGGAGGCAGAGGCAGGCTGTGAGTTCGAGGACAGTCTGGGCTACAAAGTGAATTCCAGGACAAATGCGGAAGTTACACAGAGAAATCCTATCTCAAAAAACAAAACAAAACAAAAAAAAAAAAAAACTATAGGAAATTCATATTTCAGTACACACTGGTAGTTTTACTCTTTCATTTATTTATTTTCTAGTCCTCACTTATTACAGAAAGAGGAGATAGTCTAAAACATTTGCTATGTGGCACTCTCAGCAAGTCTGTATCCTCCTTGTAGAAATCATTAGTTGCTCAGAATAACTGTTTCCAAAGGGGCAACTAGGAAAATCTCTTCAAAAAAGGTTTGCTTATGACATGACTATAAGTTACCAGTGAATGTGACCAAAAGGTTCCCCACTCTCAGGCAGAGTTGAGGACAAGGGTGCATCAGTCAGGCTTATGACAGATGTGTTTCTCATGGCCGCTGTCTATGCTCCAAGCACCTCTCCACCATGATAGACTTGACAGCCACCACCACCCTAAATTTAGGCATAATTATCCACTAGAGTACCACTACAAGTGTATGTTACTGTC